GATTGAAATAGATGATGGCATGTAAGGAAGCAGTGAGGTTTGAGAAGCGCAGAAATGTTGATTGGGATAGTTGCATTATATTAAGGGGCAGTAGTGAGTATGGTATTACGCCGATTTTTAGTAACATCCCAGCAATATCACGGTGGAGGACACCAGAAATTGGCTTCACACAGTGTACCCATGTTGGGAATCGAACCCGGGTCTTCGGCGTGACGAGCGAACGCTTTAACCATTGGGCTACCCCACCGCCCATTTTGAAGAGGCTGTGTTGTTCGAATAGATGTTTGAAATCAGCATAAATAGAAGTATATAAAGAAGCAGTATGTGTCGGAGACAGATGCAGTGATAGTGATAGAGGTAGATAAAGGGATGTGAAGGGGCAGTGTGGTTTGAAATTGACAAAATATAGACAGGAGTTAATGCTCGATGTCCACGCTTAGAAGCCGCATCCGCTCTGTTGGCCTCCATTCATGACGTGAGTTGATTCAGTCTCTCCTTCAATGATGGACATAGGCTTACTGAGGAATGTTTTGAGGATGGAGCAGAGATGGTGCATAATCCATTTTGGGTGATCCCACAAGGTTGTCATAGTTACACGTAGTTACATGGCATGGTAGTTGCTATATTTAAGAAAGATAGTTGCCTTCGACTCTAAGAAAGGCATACACGGAATGTATTGACCTGCTGGAGCTCCTGGCTTTATCAGTGAAGAACATTTCTGGGATGAGCTTTTACGTAATGTTTACATAACCCACAGACCTTCGGACTCTCACAGAGAGTTCCATTCGACAAGGAAACGTCAAGTCTCGAAAAGGAATTTTGAGAACTGTGAGGTGCATATGGAAGACATGTTCTAATGGCTTCAGAAGCAATGGTGATTATACAAGCGATATTCCTACTCTTAATAACCCCCACATATGTTCTCTATGTGTTCCAATCTCTACCTTCTGATTAACTGAATCGCTATTTATTGTAATGAGGGGCGGTGGGGTAGCCTAGTGGTTAAACCGTTCGCTCGTCACGCCGAAGACCCGGGTTTGATTCCCCACATGGGTACAATATGTGAAGCCCATTTCTGGTGTCCCCCGCCGTGATATTGCTGGAATATTGCTATGTGTTCCTATCACTATAAGCGGTGTAAAACTATACTCACTCATTCACTCACTCATTATAATGAATTGGGAACGGACACCTAAAACAACTATTTTTAATTAAAACATTATTATTCTCATTTGTATTTTTTTACGTTCTATATTATGTACACGACCTTCTGATCCGGTTTTGAACTGGTCTTCAGACACTCCTGCTAGCAAGAGGCGACTATCGGGTAATCAAGCTCGCTAACTTGGTTGATGCATGTCATCGTGTTGCGGAGATCGGTGCTCCTAATGTCCATCACTGGTTTCGACTGTCAACCACGATTATTTATGCTGCACAATTGCTGTGCAAGGCTTTGAACATCAAACACAACAAGGGGCGGTGGGGTAGCCTAGTGGTCAAAGCGTTGGCTCGTCACGCCGAAGACCGGGTTCGAATCCCCACATGGGTACAATGTGTGAAGCCCATTTCTGGTGTCCCCCGCCGTGATGTTGCTGGAATATTGCTAAAAGCGGCGTAAAACCAAACTCAGTCAGTCAGTCAGTCAAACACAACAAAACAAGCATGGCCCTTAAATAGCAAGTACAATGCCCAGCGTTACATAAGTAATACTACCACGCCAAACAACATGGCTGCTTACAACGATACACTCAAACAATTAACCTCGTTATAATGCCAGAACGAACCATTACCATGCCGTGACTCCACAACAAATGTGGCCGTGTCGGGGAATAATGCCTACAGCATGTGCGGTTGTGTGCCTAGCCTTTGATACATTCAAACCCATGCCCCTCATCTTTATGCGAATGCTTAATGCTACACGTGTAGTGTTATGGTAGGGATGTTGACCGCCATTTAGGACACGCTAGGCAGTGTCTAAGACCTACACGGTACCACGTTACACCATACAGATGCGCTAAGTGGTAAATTCCTTAAACATACAAAAGATCGTTGTGAAAATATCTAAGATCGATTAGTCATCATCCGCGCTGTTCGATTTTTAACTGCCTGAACAATTTGCATTAATCACTTGGTTTAACCCAAAAAGTGATAATCCATTCATAACACGATGTGTGGTACTTTGATGTTTATTGATCTACTGATTAAGCCCGAAGTAATATAATATAGTCCTTAAACTTTGGTACAACCCACGATTAGGGCCCTGGTGCTATCAAATCAAAAATGAAAACTATCACCGCCCATCTACTCACTATCGACGGATCCTGTCTCATCAAAGGGACGAAACTCTGCACAACATTTTCCCCAAGCAGCCCTTGTTCCCTTACTTCCAAAGTCTACTGCAGCATGAAAGCAATTAAAAGATTATTCAGATCACAGTCAAAATGAGCAACGATAATAGCAATGGTGACACCGTATCCCCAAAATGTAAAGAATCCATTCCGTGACCGAATGTACCGGTTCCTGTACACTTAAAGGGACGTAACTACCATGAAGTGCTGTTTAATGTGTTTAAATGATTGCATGTAGGCTTGACATCAATCTTTCAGAACGCTGATATAATGACGTTATAATTCATAATCATAATTTTAATGCCACGAAGAAGGATGCATCCTGCTGCTCCAAGGCTCTGACGAAATAACGAGGAGTACTTAGTGGTTATGAACAAACGCACCAGTCATTTGTAATGTTAGGCGCCTGGGTGCCATACATTGTGTCGGGGACTGCCTAAAACATCCATAATAGCTGCCTTGCAGCGATTGACCTGTCAAGGGGAGATAACTCTGTCCTTACACGCGTTGTACCGTATTATATTTCTGCAATGTTTAGCATTGGAAAAGGGTGGCGATTGTAATTAACGTGAGAGAACAGCGCATGTGTTTGCTCATATTCCATGGTATTTCCTGTATGTCAGGTTTATGGTTATTTGGGCAACTGAAGAGTTCAACATCTGCTTGAATGTTTATTGCAAAATAAAGCGAAAGTTAGTCTATTCTTTGGCCATCATTCCTGGAAGTGAAGAAATATTTGAACCCCGTAAACATACACATTCAAATCTGAAAATACAACCTCAAGTTCAAAGTTTTCAGAACGTGTAACTTGATACGCTTTATGTGGCGATACAGCATACACGTTATGAAAATTAATAAGTACGATTGTATTCAGCAATTTTGTTTGAACCACGTCCCGAGGCAGCTGTTAAAAGAACGAACAATGATAAATAACAAATTTAAATTCTTACTTTGAATACGAAATAAGACAAATCGTTAAATCCCGATAAAGACCTTCACTGATTTTCACTCTTCAATTCTGAATACCTCTAAAACATTTAACTCTTAAATCGTCAGTGACATAAAATCGAAAAGGCGTTTCTTTCAATTCCCAAAGATGAAATTCAGCCCTTCATTCCTGCTCCTGAGTCTCGCAAAGTGGCAATGATGAAACGCAGGAAGAACACCCCAGCATCACGTATGTCTCGCTGTGAATAATTGATAGCTGGAAAGGTAGAATGTTGTTCAGCACTACTTCGTCCCTGACAAGTGTCACTCAACGTAAAAACATGATAAAATCACAGCCGTATTTCTTTTGTGCCAAGCCCACATGGAAGAAATATATAGGTATTTCCCAACCATCCGATCACAAGAGATAGGTGCATAAATAATTTGCTTCCTCCGAAAACAAGGGCCAGGTTGTGAGGTGATTTATCTACCTTGAAGGAAGCTCTTCCGAGAGTGAGGGGTGAAAGTGACTCGCTATAGCTGTTAAATCGTTGGGGGGCTTTGTCAATAATTTTCTTTTGCATTCTGCCGGAACAATTCTAACCGTTAATTTTCCGGACAAATGCTTGAATGTTTTACGACGGTTGTCAATGGCTGCTGAAAAGACGCTTCAAATCAGACGAGACATGTTCTTAACGATTTTGTGTCCACACAAGAATATGAATCATTCAGACTCCATTTGTGTGAAGTATGCAAAATCTCCATGCTATTTTCAAAGGTTTTTGCCTCCTGAATCTTTACTAAACGCCAAAGCGCAAGTAAAGGCAACTTTCTGTATCTAACCTTTTGAATAATGCATTTTCTGAAATGGTGAATTTTATTCATAGTTTGTTTGTTTTTTCTGTATCATTTTTGTTTTTACAATTAACAAATACACACATATACCGCTCTGTTTCATATTTATCATAATCTTATAGACATCTGCCGTGCATATAGGTAAAATTAGAGGCAGTTTTGTGGAATATCCAACAAAAATGAATAGGAAACAATCCTTAAGTATTCATCTATTTTTGTATATTTTGTCGAAAAGTAAATCTCTTAGTGTTTTTCAGAGGTGAATACTGGAATATTACTTTTTTTCATTATTAGCTGCTTCAATCGTGTTCTTTGACAAAAAAAACCAATGTTTTTCTGATTTCAAAGTATCTTTTTGAACATATTAAGAACGATCGTGTAAATATGGTCATTTTTCTGGGTTTCATTTTACTTATTCAGGGATAAAATAGGCCACTTTCTAAATAATTGCAAACATTTATATAATAAATATGAAGTGATGAACTTCCGTAGAAATTGAGCAACAAACATTAAAAAACCCTTTAAACAATGCCATATACAAGTGATAGAAGATTGCCCATCTGGCCAGTAAACCAATATTTCAAATAGCTATTTGAACGAAATATCATGCCGTTGACTTAAAAATGCATCTTTTTCTAGATTAACCTGCTGTTAATAACAGCTTGTTATCTTTTCATTCACAAGAAGCCCTATATTTGCCGTAAAATCGTCTCATATCTGTTCCCATTTCAAGAATACAATTTTGTCTGCTGCCGCGGCTCGCCAACAACGCTTTGTTACAAGCGATGCGATTGGCTGGAATATATATCACTCCGCGAAAGGCCCGTCTGCTATACAAATGAAGTAGTTCCGGTCCAGTGCCGCTAAACAGCCTAAGTATGATACGGCCGAGAAAGAAATGAACACGAGGCCATCAACAGACTAGTTTTATGAATTTATCGTACTGTCTCGTTGTCCAATAAGAGGGTCTGTCGGAAAGATCAAAGGGAGCCGACGGGACTGCATAGCTGTCCCTACCTGTCAATCTTTGCATCGCAAGGTGGGTACTATATTTAAACTTTGATTTACAATTGGCGCAATAACTGACAGTGTAATACTTAGCCCCATTACATTGGGGTGTGAATTTATTACCATTTTTTCCCGTCTTCATTTTTTCGTTGTCTCGTAAAAATATTCTCCGTTTGTAGATTTCAAGTTGTCTATAGACGCTACGATGTCAATATCAAGCTTTAATGCATGTACCTATAGTAATAAGACGGGCCGGTATGATCTATAACCGGCAGCTATTACGAGCGTTTCGGTGTTATTTGCCTCATAAACATTGCCGTTATAACGATTTTATTGTTCCGTTGCCGATATAGAGAGGGAAGAGAATGGCGTTGATTTCAGTCGTGAATTATGAAGTGTTACCGAGGGCTGCTCGCGATAAAAGCACTCCTTCGCCGCTAGTTCATAGGTTTCGGTAATCAAGAAGGTCAGGGGTCACTGTGGGTCGGGGATTTTAGGTGGGGTTGGGATTTTGTAGGTATTTAGGGTGGGGTATATTTATGACAGGACATCTCACGGCTTTGGTGATATGATATAATGTTATACTTTGTTTCTTACAAAAAGACATGTTGTCTGTTTAATTTGGTTCAAATAATTATACATATGTATGCATATTTTAAGCCATCGTTCCACCTTTTGAACATATTTATGACATACGTTTTAACTTCCGTGTAGTGGAAAAAACTTGAACCTCATGATCGGATGCAGATACCATCATTTCCTAAAAGAAATATGTAAATGAACGTTTCTTTTATTGTTGTTCGGATCTAAATTCGTGGGTACATTATCACAATAGTTGTGCCCAATCTATCACATTTCAGGTTTACGTCCAAAAAGCCAAAACAGGAACAAGCATAGAAAGATAGACATGATAAATACACACATGTACATACACAAACAGATACATGTGCATTCTTGAAGATAATACTATGCAGGTTATAATGTTGTTTAACTTTGTTGTGAAAAATGGTAAACCTGTGCTCTTTGGAATCAGGATTACCATAAATAAGTAGCAACCCCCATCCCACCCTACCCACCCCCACCCCTATTAGAATTTGTCACTGTAATGTGTATTACCACAGTAGATTTGTCTTCTGTTTCCGATTGTACATTTTAATTGGGACATTAAAACACAGAACGCTAGTTTTGCAGCCTTCGTTAAAGATACGGTTAATTGTGTAGGACTTTTATTGTTTCTGGATGCCAGGGGTTGGTTTGAGTTCGCTACCCACCAATTAGGCTAACATTCCGAAATGTAAACTGTCTGTGAGCATTCGTGTCTATGGAACCAACAGCCTGGGTTAGAGCCATCAATGTTCACAAATGACAAGTGCGAGAAAAGCATTCTTTATGTGGTATTCAAACACCACACTAACGTATCTCGTTTACGAATATTATATATTGAGCAATTAATATATATTTCTGTCGTACATTTGTGAACGTTTTGAGCTGCAATTTGGATGTTTTGATGAAATTTCGTTAAAAACCAGTTTCATAAATATTTCCTTCATATAACCTAATTAAGGGTCTTCACTGTAATCGTCTTTATGTTCCAAGGGTCTAATTTCTTTATGGGTTGAATGAAGTTGCTACTATATTAGTATTTCCATCCAACACTCTTAATTGTCACTTAATTATTTTAACGCTTGTACTGATTAATTTCTTATAAAAGCCTCGATAATACAAATCTGACACCCATACATCTTGCTTGTCAACACCCCGTGAGCAATTGAGATGAAATGGAACCCATTTCAACAAGTATAATTTATTAGATATGTAAATGACATAATATTTTTGTCACTTTGACACACTTCGTCACGTGCTTCTTAAATGTTTGTCATCAAAATATCGAATAAAACACATTTTCACGAAAAACTTATTCAGACATGGGGGTGATGAAGTCGGTCGGTAGAGGGGGTGGGGTCGCTGAGTTGAGGGTACGGCGGGGCGTCATTTGCCACGTGGCACGTTTGAAGGAGATCATCGAAATGAGAAAGCCACCTTCAATCCGTGTGTAATTTATAACCGCTGGACTTAATGACTTAATCACTGTCCGTTACATGCGAGGCGACTGAGGGGCAGGGGGTCGGAAGAGGGGGGAGGGATACGCCGGGAGGGACGGGTGAGGATGAGGAGGGGTATGACGACATTTGTCCCCCTCGTAGTTTATTGCCTTTCGGTCCGTTGATAAAACACAAAGAGGGTTTTAAACCACATCTGCCCAAATTGTTGTCGGCATTAACGATAACTCACTGCAAAGACTCCGACCAATTTTAGTAATTAACTTTCAGTTGGGCCCTGACTCCTTTTAAGGGGTGTTTTTGAGAGTCCTAAATTACACAAACAGTGTAGTATATTTAGAATATATGACTGACGAGTTAGATATTTGACTCACTTATTATAGCAGTTTGAAATAATAAAATAATTCAAACTCATTATGTAGTGTAATCAGAATTAATATGAGAATTCTTCTGTGTCTAAGTGAAATATGCCTGCAGGGGTCCTCAAGGGTCAAAGACAACAAAAACATTCTGTTAGTATTGTAATGAGCAAGATAACCTTATACGGTTGTAATAGATACTGATGTTTCAAGGAGGTTGATGGTCAATGGAATGTCAATTTCACCCCGTTATGAATATTAAAAATTCCGCTTACATTATGAATGGCGTGGTTGTAGTTCGGCATAAACTCAAAGAGCTTATATCGTTGTCTGTTATGTTGATCCATTGTAATCTCTTTCTGTTGGTCAATAGAACACCACACGCCACAGTATATGCAAACATTGTTTTGGGTGATTAGAATACACACAATGTATATATTAACTGTTAGTTTGTTATGATATTGTCAATATTCCCTAAGCTTAATCTTTTGGTATAAAACAAATAAACGAATCTTACAAAACACTCGAAATATTTAAAAAATGAATAAATGGGGCAGAAATATCTTGAGATGACCAGCGGATGTGTTTAATCCTCCTGAGTGCTGCCCTAACGACGAATACTTGTCACGTGCATAATTTTTCTCCCAAAAAAGCAATTTACTCTAAAATATTCTTGTTCTTTAAAACTCGCTTCTATAAGTCTTCTTTTTAATCACGAGGTCCCACCTCGTGAATGATTTTCATTCGATCCAACATGGCATTATGCAAATGGAGGCGCAGTTCTGTCTAGTGGTTACAAAAACGAACGACGAATATCAAAACTGGAGCCAAAAAGTCTGAACTAAGATGTGAAAGGGGTCAAACAAGAGACTGATTTGACTTTCAATTTTCCGATGACACTTTATTTCAATAAATCAGGAATTTTTGAAAGATCATAAGATTATGGTTTTGTTAACCTTGTTTGCATTAACTAACACAAACTTTGAGGACATAGTGATGAATTGCCATTGGCTGAAACGAACTCCGCTGGGGGTCGGATCCAACTTCTGCGCCTGTAATATCTCTGATTGTGATTAAAGGGCACATCGCTTTCAAGACAAGTGATTTTTTTCCCAATGATTAGGTACCAATCGCTAAAAAGTAGTGCCTAAACAGCTGAAAATTACTTTGGGTGCAAAATGCATTATAGGAAGCTTGTCCTATCTTTCATTCATTAGTCTTGAAAGTCTCCTGGCAGTGCGACACTAATCCCACACCGTGATTTGTTTTTTCCCGAACTTCCACTTTGTCACTGACTGTTTAGGGACCCCCCTAATGTGTTCTTTATACACTGTTCACTCTTTAAATGGAATCCCTATTCCGCATTAAGAAGTAGTTCGTCTTTCTGATGAATCTTTAAGAGAACCTCGTACACATCGGCGAGTTGTGAGTCTGAAAACAACAACTTCAAAACAGGAATATTTATGACAGACCTGTAAAACACTGTTTCATATGTATTGATTCAATCTCCATATTCATTTGAAGGTAATAACTTTAGCATTTTATTAAAAAACGCACATTTCGCTCTCTTCACCAGCTAATGAAATAAGTCGCAATGAATATGTAGATTTTTAGATCGAAATATTGTTAACTAGGGAACGCTCATGTAAATTATATATTTTAAAAAAAATAAGATGGTGAAGGATGCAGAAGGGAATATTAAAAAGACGAAGAAAGCCATGGCTGGGTAAAAGGGTTATCTTTTAATCCTCAAGAGCAATATGCAAGCATCTTTAATTATTCTAAAACTTAACTATACACATATGTGAGCTTATACTGCAAGATTTTCTCATCTGATTAGGACTCCATCTTAGCAGTTGACAGACACGGAAAAATATAAATATGCTGATGAACATACACAATCAAGACAGGAATATACTTGCGTGTTCAATATCCCATTTTGGCAACGCCAGACAATCCCAATCCGCTTACATCGTCCCACAACGGTCCCGATACGTATATTTCATATCTTCCAACCCGATCACGCGAAAGGGAGATTCACTGATATAGCCACTAGTCAATATCACATGTATATATGTACATTTCATTCCAAATGCATACAATGAAATCGACACGTAGGGTTAGATGTTTATTACAGTCCTTATACGATGAAGATGAACGAATAAAAGAATGAGTTTTATTCACGTTTATTCGTTTAAATGTGGCATTGTATGTGTGTTTAATGCAACCGTTATTACATGGATATGGATTAATAAACGAATTATTCTGGTTCATGCTTTGGAATATGGTATTAACAGCTGGTATTTTGCATTGATTGTCAATAAAACATCCATAGCATTTTCAAAATGACATGATGACTTTCGTGATTTCTGATATCAAAATCGGGGAAATATATCTTCGGAATTAAGATTTATAATGCTCAAACATTAATGTTTAATCTTTAATACTTTATGCTGATATGAACGGCGAAGTTTTTTTATCCCTGAGAATTCTCGATACAGAGATATTTCTTGCATAATTAGCACATGTCATGATAAGAGTTACTGGAAGAAAACGTAAAACCGTGGATTGATTTGGGAAATACACAACTGAATGATTAATGTTCTGTTATGTATTTATAATAACATATATACATATTTTAGTAGCTTTTGATGAAAAGGGCAAGGGCGAGTTAAATCCACTCTTTGATAAATATATCATTTACTGCGGCATAATGCGATATTTGATTCACCGCGGTAAGGCTAGATTGACCTAGTGCAAAGGAATGCGAACGAAGGGAAAGAAAAAATGAAATTCTTGTGAGATTTCTAATCTTCCAACTACCCGTCATAAATCATGGTTCTCATTCGACCATCAAACAATGACATGAAATTCAAATTGCCGAAATAACATCATTATTTGGCAGAAAAATATTACAATAAATATTCATTTGTGAAACATAAATCCTCTGTGACTCTGTGCCAAATCTGTGATTTTCTTAATTTTTTCTTCAAAGTCTTTCATCTCTGCTCAATTTGGCCAAAATAAGTCGTTTACCAAATGAGACCGACCCTAAGGCCAGCGTTCGCCGAGTCGTTTGATTTGGGGTGAGAGACAAATTATAAAAGTTGACAATTCTGTGGGCTGATCACAGCTGTAGCTCTCGGATAGGGCAAGGAGGGGGGCTATGATTGAAGAAGCTTCGGCCACGCGCTAATCATGCATCCACGAGTCTTTCGCTCTCTCGATTACTATTGACTTCTTGAAAGATTTACTATTTCCTTTCTTGCTTGTTATTGATTCTCGAGCACGAAGACGCAGCAATCGCTAAAGCTTTTAATTAATTTCACTCAGGACCAGAAAGAAATTGAGAGTGACTCCGTAGATTCCATCCTATCTCACAAATCAAAAACTCCAAGTTACACACACGGTGTCAAAGTATTGCTTGAATAAAAGGAAGATACTGTTTAATTTGGTTTTGTCTTGTCGCATACGGAGGCAAGCTATGGTAGAGATACCTAGAAATTAAACTTTCTCAGCAAAACTATCACTGGACTTGGATAATAGAATTACCTCCCTTGACGAATGGGCACGATTCATCAACGTAATAGGAAAATGTCAATTATTGAAAGGAATAAAATCTATCTTTCAGTCGACAGGTTTCGAGTTCAGTTTAGACCAGTGTGTTACCATTGATTGGGTAAAACGAAATGGAATCAAAATCGACGTATGATGTTTTCTCAGGGTGAGCAGATCATTGGGAGGGGGAACTTTCGGGGAGGGGAACGAAAAAGGGAGACATTTAATTTCGAGTCTTGATATCTCGAGGTCCACATCTTTATTGGATCCCTCGAACCCAGACAGGCTTGATTAAAGCGTTCATTTTGATTGAAGAGAGTCGTGCTCGTTTTATCTCAACATCGTTGAATTTTACAAAATTATAGGTTTCTTGTTTGGGATGTGGAAAAAAGTCTTCTATCCATTTTGCTGTTAGCTTAGGCGTTCAAATGAATATAGATGTGAAATAAACAGAATAGAGAGCAATGAAAAATTCATGTCGGCCGAACTTCAAATATGCAGCGTGTCTGATTAAGACAAAATATTGCTCCTTTGGTACACCGGGGGTCATTTTTCAATCATGACAAATCGAGCGACACGGACGGCGATACTGCCGTTTAATTGGTTTATTTTAATCACGTGACATTTACGAGCCAATCGAAGGACACTAAGGGGGGCATATCTATACATTCCCATGTTTATAGCCGATATTGGCAATATTTCCTGAAAAGAGTTAGGTTTGTAGTCAGAACCAACATAATAGTATCAATTGCTATCGACCGATGAAGAGAATGCAACCAACATATTTGTATTTATAGGAACTTCGATCAACGAACTTCTCACGCACTGAGGTAAGATTTAACACTTTATTTTTTATATTTCTAACCATAACGGTTGTGTTTTAATGGTCTTTCACGAATGCTTTTTCACGAATGCACGCATGTTATTTCGAAAAGCTCATGCAAAAATAACAGGTTTTCTTTGTCTTTCTAAAACGGCAAATTTGCTTCATCAAATTTCCGTCTAAAAACGCAAATTCTAAAATTCATCTTTTTCTTAGATTGTTTTTAAAAGTATTATTGCTGAAACAAAAGTATCAAGTTACTCGTAGGTTAAGTTATATTGATTTGACAAGATCACGATTTGTAAGATTCTTATGGGACAAATGTTCTATTAACGAAATGGCTCCTTGGTGGGCGGTTTTATCGTAAAATCAATTACTTACATTTTAGGTAAGATTTACAGTGTTACCGAAGCCCCTGACTCCTATTATCACTGTACAACGGGATTATAGCTGTGATTAATGCTCAAATAGGGCCCTAGACACGTTTATAGCGCATTAAGATACCATATCTACCGATACTGATGTTATAACGAGGACAGCCAGCGATAGATAAGTCGTTGATTTGTCGAGGATTGGACATTGTCAGTTACATCCTACAAGTCCTCATCAATGTCTTCGCAAACGATTCCATTCATGATGTGCTTAAATGAGATCTAGATACAAACCAAATATTTACTTTTACTGGAAAAATGCAGTTTGGTAATACAGGCACAACATTTACATCGAAGACGATTTTTAATACCATAATTCCGATAAAACGCATAGAAACATTAAAATAAGAAAAATTGAAACCTATATGAACTATAAAGCGACATTCAGAAGAATAGATGTTTTGTTTTAAACACTTTTCTATCAATTAACTTACCATAAAGAGAGGGAGTCCCGAAGTATTTATGATGCTGCCATTATCCGGAGACACAAAACTATACAACGAAATTAACGAGCGTCACGTGTGTTTAGCTATTTATACATATTACTAAAATGTATCTTACAGGGACTTAAGAATCACCCACCCCCCAAACAAAAAAAAATATTTCATAAAATTAAATAAAACCAACGAATCTGAAATAACACACTTGAGTGAAAAAAATAATAAAACGTTTAATCATCTCTTCACATATCGTTCTGTCTGTTGTGTTTGGTTGTGTCTCTTAGACATTCTTTTAATGCAACTATTTCTGCATTTTTGTAAAATTTGAATAGATGAAGGGACAAAAGCAATTTTTGCTCTTACAAATTGAACAGAAATATGTGTTTGTCTATCCCTGTCTCTTTATGTGTCTGCCATGTGTTTGGAGTATTGCTGAATGCAGCGTTAAACATGAATCTTTCTATCTCTGTTTCCGTCCGCTCTCTTATCTACGACACTTCAGGCCGTCTGTTAAGCGTACTGTCACCCAGTCATCATACAACTTGACACCATCAATTGAGTCAGATTTAACTAAGGCTGACGCTTTCATTTAAATCCATATTTGTTTCTTAAGATGGCATTGATAACTGTCGTGTGGGCATATTTCTGTACACACGACATGTGAAGATAGCAAACTGTATCATGGTGCCTCGTAAAGACATCTATTTTCAAGAACGCACGTACCATTAACGCAAACATCCGTTATAGTCCGTTTGGCTCAAAATCGGACCGATGAATTGCACTCTAACTCGAAAACAACTAAACATAGAATACTCAATGAAACACGAATCATAATCATAACATCAGATCAACTCTGTGATTTTTTTCAGAATTTATGACCTAAAAGTAAAAAGTTGTTTAACAAACTATCATTAATATTTTGACACAGTTAACTATTTGTTACGAGGGAGGACTGCAAAGGGAGGAACAGTCAGGTGTACGTGAAGCACGTGCACAAGTGCCGACAAAGTAATAGATTCATTAACCTGTGCTGTCCCGTCTCCATCCTTTCTCGCCCACCTGGCTGTTCCTCTCTTTGCACCCCTTCCTCGTAACAATAGTGAACTGCGTCAAGATTTTAATGATAGTTTGTTAAACAACTTTTTACGTTTTAGGACATAAATTCTGAAAACAAATCACAGAGTTGGTCTGATGTTTTGATTATGATCAGTGTTCATTGAGTACTATATGTTTAGTAGTTTTCGAGTTAGATTGCAATTCATTGGTCCGATTTTGAGCCAAACGGACTATAGTATATATTGAGAAAACAGTTCCAGACGACGTTTCTTAAATATCGGCATCACATCACAAAATTGTACTGTTCAATAGTGTATTATTGGCTTGTAAAGCACATCTTTTCTGTTGTAATGGGGAAATTTGATCAAGTTATATGAATTCAGTAATGATACAATGCCACCTTGGGCTGTCACCTCTGGGTAGTCCAGGCAAAACTATCAAAACAACAGTCGAGGAAGTCCTTGATATAAACCCCTAAGATAAAACTACGTTCATTAATTATTTTCAGTTTAATACCTTAACTTCAGAAGGCCCTCTTCTCTTGAAACGTGCAATCAAACGTAGCACAACTGTCCAACACACTCCCCAAACCTTTGAGATAAATTAATTCATAATTCTATGTGTTGTTTCAAAATCTCAGTAAAGTGTTCAGTGTTATATACATCAAACTTTCAATATTTCGTTTAAAATATGAATTAAAGGTTCTTAATGGATATTACTATTAACAGGCGTTTAAAACACCAGCAATAACATAACACACAAAAGACGCCTGACGATGCCCAGAACAGATTAATATTTTAATACATTCTATACAGGCGTTCGACATATTCTCCCAAATACAAATATCATAAATACAGTCAATAATTGACTCGGTGAGTCAACGGCCGTGCTTGCAATCACTCATATCAATTCTAACTCTTGTAAACCATGAACACACTTCACAAATGGCGAGGGATGCAAGTTTTATCCACAGCTTGTTATACCAAACCCGTGACGTTTCCTACAGTTCAAGGCAAGTAAAAGATTCGTTTCCGAAGTAACTCCCAGATAATTTCTTTCTGGAACCGATCCTGATATCATAAACAAATCATTGTAAAATATTATTACTCCTGGGCGAATAAATCAAACATAGAAAAGTAATCGTATATCATCCTTCCAATCGCCATCCTGTTCGACGCTATGCATTGGTAAGGTTACGTCAGTAACGAAAAAGGTACGTGAAAAAGATTCAGAAACGAAATGTGTTTTCTAATGTGATATTTTCGTTCGTGTTCGGCGATGATATGATAGTTATCACTAAACACACGAGGCGCTGTTAAATATTCTTTTATAGGCAATGTTTATGTTTCAGCTGAATCTAAACTGTCATCCTTAATATTGATTTTATTTAAATTTACCGAAATCGCTTCCGGTTACACATAAGTGAGTAAGTATGGTTTTACGCCGCTTTTAGCAACATTCCAGCAATATCACCGCGGGGGACACCAGAAATGGGCATCACACATTGTACCCATGTGGAGAATCGAACCTGGGTCTTCGGCGTCACAAGCAAACGCTTTAACCACTAGGCTACCCCACCGCCCCCGGTTACACATAAGAACTCTTAGGTATACTCGTAATGGCATACAGTATATTTGGCATACAGTATATTGTAGCAAGTATTGGCTACTTTCCGGAATGCAGAAACAATTTGTTTGTAAACTTGGTCTCACATAATATCACACAAGGTACACATTGATATAAGCTGATTATCGCCATGAACTAGATAGAGGGTGAGTTATTTGGGTTAACGCCACCTTTAACGGTATTCCAGTTACGTCAGCTTAACGTGGAGAAAAAATGACGTAATGCAGGTCTCACACGTTTACCATTTTGGTATAATTCCTGAGCACGGGTGACACACCTAGAAACAGGGGATTCGAACCCCAAATCATAATTTCCTGACGTGTTCAAGGGAGGTAACTTTTCACAGCGAATTGCGTCGCCTTTGAGAGTGGAGCACCTGTGCCCCTGTCAGGATATAAGAATCAAACATACCTTAACACTCAGTTGCTATGTCCTGGTTCGGAATGACCCTGCGACTTAAAATGGGTGGCTCGTCAGACTAAGGCACTGTAATGTCTGTGCAGAGTTACATACCCTATGCGTGCCAGGATCCGGATTTGTCCCATCATTTTTTTAAACTACCACATCCGGGCTCTTGGGTTCGTGTAAGTTGGGTTAAGTCATTCCAGGGGGTTTTATGGCATGGATTTAGAGGAACTTACGACCCGTGACTCGTTTTGCACCCACATGGTGCGTGATGTTATCCCATGCTTCGACCTTAACTGGGAGTTTTCACACCCCTCTGTTCACTGTCATTTACTAATCGTATCAGGGCCTGTGAAGATCCGGGTTAGAGTTGACCTTCAGCGAATTTTGTAGTAAGAGGAGATAGTCAGGCTCGCTGACCTTGTTTTAGTCATGTCATCGTGTCCCATTTGAGGAGATCAGTGCTTGTATTAATTAATGCCAGACCTCCGTCCAATAGGTGGAAGATTGCTGAGTGCGGCGTAAACAAACAAACACACACGTAAACACGAAACAAAACACGAAACAGATGACGTCCTTGTTGGCTTGTTTGAATCGTAACCCTTCGTCGTGGATCAATGCTGATTGTGATGATCACGGGATTGTCTGGTCCAGAATCGATCGTTCACAAGACCATTTCTGGGTTCAGCAGCAACAAGCACTTTGTCTTTATGAAACCTTGTTGAGAAGGGGGGGATATACGTGAAACAGGACAAGCTTCTTCTTTTCGAAAACACCCGGTGTCATTGCTTGATTCTTTGAATATTTTGGCGTCCTACGGAGTCCGTTTTGGGAGATAATCATGACTAGTTATCTTCTGGCATTGAAGTTTTGAATTCTCAAACGTGGTAAACCGGGAAGACCTGCACAAATTCGGGATACGTTAACAAATTAAGTTATTTAGGAGAAATACTTTCCATTATAATTCAACTCACTCACACAAACGTGTCCGTAGTTTGGTATTTTGCCACAACCAGCGTCTTGGTTGCTGGAATTAAGCCTTATATACT